CACAAAAGTTTACTGGAAAACTAGAAAACTAAGGAACATTGGGAAAAGAGTAAATACTGCATAGCATCACTTATCACAGCATAGACAGCCCACTCAACACAGAAAGACTTATAACCCATTCAGTGCCATGTTCCATGAGAAAAGAGGAGGAGGAGGAGGAGGAGGAGGAGGAAAAGAAAGGCTTTCATTAGAAACTCTGAGAGTAATGCTGTTTCAAAAATTGACTTTCAGAGTTATTCCATTGAAATGGATGTCGTCCACTACACTATGCTAATAGAGGGAAGGATAAATATTTTCAGGGATCATTGACTGACAGAAAACAGAGAAATCATTTCTCATGCTGGTAGAAGTACTCACATGGGAAGTATCTGGAAAGGTGAAATGGATGATGGATGCAGTGTGTACTACAATGGTTGGAAAAGAGAAGACCTTCTCCAGGACTTGGCTGAGAAAGCATGTGTTAGGATGAGAGTCCCTGGGACTATGCCAACAAAGGAATGGTTTCCTCAAAGATATAATAAACTACTGTGCAAGTGTACAGGTTTGATGGGGTTCAATGAGCAACCTGGTTGAGGAACAACCTCCTTGGATGAGCAGCCTGGTCTAGTTGAAGGTGTCCCTAATCATGGCAGGTCCTGCCAACCCAAACCATCCTGTGATTATATGATTAAACATTTTACCCAATACTGAACTGGCAGCATTAGTACTGTGTGTTACAAACATTGACTTAAATAACTAAATCAGTACTCAATTGGTTTTGAAAAAAGTGGACATACTTAAGCTTAAATATTTTTTCCTCTTCTCATGCTCTCTGACCCTCATATTACTCACTTACTTAGTAGATAGGGCATCCTTTTCTCCACTCCCTCTGGGGTTTTTTTAAAATGCCAAGTGAGATACATAAAAGGTGCACTTCCCCTAGTCAGGTTATGTTTTACCCTTGGCTAAAATTCAGAAAATGGAGAACTTCTGTCTAAAAGAAAAAAAGACAAATGGCATCAAGCAAAGCCTAAAAGGTCATTGCGAAGCATGAAATCAACTTCTTTTTCACACACCTTTAGCCATATCAATATCTGCAAAACTTGCTATTGCAAATGAAAAAATGAAGGACTAGAGCCACGTGGTAGCCTACAACTAAATTCTTCACTTGCAATCTGCTTCTCTGCTTTGCATCTCAGGCTTCAGGTGTGTGTGTGTGTGTGTGTGGGCAGCACAAACAAGTTCCTACAGGGTGGGAAAAGCCCACATTGCACTGCAGGGTGTGCTAAGAAACTATTCTTTATTTTGCTTCAAATGTAAGGCAGATAAATATTTACAAGATTAACTTAGCACAGTTAGCACAAGACTTGTGGAAATTTTGTAAATTTAAAGGTACAGTGGTCACTCTGGACAAAGAATTCCTGAAGTGCAGGGGAATTAAGAAAATCTTCTCACTCTCTGTTAGAGAGATTGCATGGTGTGCTCATTGCATCCTTGCTCTAAATTCTAGATTCACTCTGAGTTTAACTCAGCCCCTAAAATCCTTTTCAACCATATACATATCCAGCCAAACATCTAATTATATTTTGCCATACAAAGCAGTATGAAATAAACACTCGCTTTAAATGTCATTATCTTAATTATGGTAATGGCTTCAGGAGAAACCTACGGAATTATGGCTGATATTAGTCTTCTCAGCCTTAGAAATTAATACATACCCAACAGCTACATAAATCTGATAATGACAAGAAACAGCTGAGCAAAAAGGTATTGCTTTTATTTGGGTATTTATTTTCTTGATTTTTTTCCTAGAGTGCATGCTGCTAAAATCAGTGGATAAAGATGGAAGAAGATGCCCTGTTTTCAAGAGAATCAGAGTTCAGATTAGCTTTCCAAGTTTAGCCAAGAGAAGAAGAGTTCTCCCTTTTATCCTGATAATACATTGGTGTTGGTTTCCCTGCTAGTAACACACCCTCTGCCTGAGTGGGATGACTCCTTATGGAATGAGGCAGATTCCCAGGGATTAGAAATCCAGAAATACCCTCCAAGAGCTCCCCAGCCTGTGTGCAGTGGGCTGCCAGCATGAAAGATGATGGAAGAGGAAACAGGAGAGGGAGAGGATGGAAAAAATTTGGCACAGAGATACACATAAAGGATCTGTAACTAGAGGAAAGTGAGGAAAAAGGAGAATTAGGAATGCCTTTACTCTGTGTTGATGCTGTTGCTTTGCCACTAATTGGCCATTGTGTTGTGCCTGTGGGAAATGTCACCTTGGGATAACAAAGCATAAACACCATGAATGATGCAACCACTCCTAATTTATTTTAGACTCCAGTCTAAAACTTGATTTCTTTTCTTGTAAGAACTATGCCATAATAAGCTGCAGAAATAGGTCTTAATGAATTAGTTTCAGCTCACTTAAAATTCATAATGATTTCTTTGCAGTAGTGCTAAAGGAACCACTGTTTGCATACTGTGTGCCACTGAGGGACATGGTCTGGACACCAGGGCATGCCCAGCCTGGTTGTCCCACACCTATGAGTAAATCTGATTTCCTCAGGATGCCTCAGAGGAAATGTATTGTTCATGCAAAACTCCCTGGAATGTGTGCTGTTATTAGGGAATTAATGGAAATATGCAGATGTAGCTCTTGCTAGTAAAAGGCCCTTGATCATACTGTACAAATGGATGGCACTGTTGTCACACTTTAGAGAAAAATGTCAGTAGTTCTCATGCCATACAGTTTTCTGCATCTGAGAGGATCTGAGAGGATCATCACTGCTCTGTAAATATCTCGATTTCAGTGTCACCTGCAACTGCTAAATGCCTGCTTAGCATTAAAAGGGCACAACTGTTGCTAAATAAACCTAAAAATTAGGTTTTTTGTTTACACAATGGTGAATCTCCACCAAATCCACACTACTTCCTTCTTTTCCCTCTGAGGACTTGCACTGAAAAGCAGGAAGCAGACAAGATTGTGCCTCATATAATTAATGATGAGATTTGATACTTCCAGCAGCAGAACCTGTTCTCAGAATGAAGAACAGCTGGTTATCCACAAGGTGTATTTTCTGGATTGCCAGGGATGTTATGTACAGTACACTTCAGCAAAGCATAAGGAAATGCAGTGTTCTCACCATCTGGGAACATTCCCCTGATGTCACGTAAAAACAGGTTACACAAAAGGGATACTAAGGGCAAAGACTGTGATAATAATGGAGAGGGAGAAAGCCCTTCAGTTACCAACAGCCTGTCTGGCCCTGACAACAGTTCCTGCTGCAGTTTGTCAGAGGTCACTGGAACAGCAAGTCTCACTTAAGAAATACTGTGTGAACAAGAAAAAAAAAAAATAGCCCTGAATTTTACTGCCTCATTATAAGAGACAACAGATGGATGAAGAGAGATGTCAACCACTTTGCAATTATTATGCCAAAGGATATTTTAAGGAAGGACTTCAAGCATTTAACAAATCTTAACAACAAATGTTTTCAAGGAGAACAAGAGGAATAATTCGCAGGGTGTACAAAAGACCTTATCTAAGAATATAACTGAGAGGCTGGCCTAGCTGTGGAGGTGAATTCACAGTGTGGATTCTTAAAGGAAAAAAGCCACAGAAGTGAATACATCCATCTGTTGTGCTAGAAAAAGGCACTGAAAAAAAAATTTAAAAAACCCAAAAAAACCAGTAGTACAATGGCCCTTATAGTATCATCCCAAACAGGTAAGAAGAGGCCACAACTGAATTTACGAAATCCAAAGAAAAAAACAAGATAGCTGGAACCAAAATGTGAGATGATGCTTGGACTAGAATTTCAGTTCTGTGGTTAGGCAAATAAGGGACCAGAAAAAGTTTATTTAAAAAAACTTCTAGCCTCCAACACTTGAAAGTGAGGCCCTAGTGAAGGTCTATTGAAACAGCAGCAGCAACTCATTACAGGCTAAGGGTTTGCAATTCAGGATGCAGTGACAAGTAAAGGAGACAGAGGGAATTATTTTGGGGTGACTGCTTAAGAGCTGAGACAAGGATTGAAAAACCTCATGCTTGGGTAGGAGAGTTCACCCTCACTTCTGTAGGTGCTTTAAACAGGTTTCTGTAAAACAGATCCAACCCCACAACAGCAGCAAACCACTTCTCCCTCTCCCTTCCAGACAGCCCTAAAGAACTAATCGGGCTGGCAGCAATGGTGCAGCTTTCCAAACATGCAGAACTGTAATACTTGATATTGTTAGGAGAAATAGCTTTCTGAAAGAAACCCCCTTAATGCATTAAGCCTTATGTGTTTCAATCATAAAGATGCACAAAGACTCTGAGGGGAGAGCAATGTATTTCAGGCAATTAGACATCAGATGACATAGCTGTCACTGCTCATTGACTGCCTTTGACAAAATCTACTGCAAATGGCACAGATCCCTATAGAAATCTTTCAAAAGCTCACAGTATTTAATCTGCAGGCATTTTAATTTGAAATAAAAGTGATATTTTCTTCAAACAGATGAGAACGGGGTGAACAACCACGATTCAGACAGCTTTAAAGCACTCCAGGGTAAGGCTGTCAACAGGTGATACACCTTGTGCACACTCACAAGCCTTGTACCTAGCTTGATTTTCAGAAGATTGAGTGACAAATTCACAAATATGTTTCTAAAGGCATGAGAAGAAGGTGTTGTTTGCTTCATTTGCCAAAGAATCCAAGTATCTTGTTTAGCTCAGAGGTGGGAGGGGGGAAGGGGGAGAAATATAATATAAAAAACCCCAAACCAACAAAAAAACCTTTCTAGGACATGTTTAGAAAAAAAAATCCTGTCTGGCATATGTTGTGGCGGAACAGAAACACACTGTGTCAACATGCAGGCTACAGAGATGACCCTACCACTGATTTTGGAGCAGTATTGCCATGCTGGGGCAGAGCTCTGAGAAACCACCTTTAAGCAAACAGCTAACAGGAGGAGAGGGTGGAACCAACAGAGAAAACTACCCTGCAGCACTTGATACTCAAGAAGTGGGTTTTCTGGGATAAAACAAGCCCTCATCTTCCTCCCACAGCAGTAGCCACAGTCCAGCTCTGTGGTGTTTCCAACACTGAGCACTGCCTTGGGTGCTCAGCCATCCCTGCCCAGCCACCCCCGTGCCTGCAGAAATCACCTGCCACAGTTTCAAAGAGGGATGGACTAACTGGGATGTACTGACTGTGTCCCCCTTCTGTGTTGATCCAGGTTTCACTTTACCAAGGCTACCCCATCCTGCTGCCCTCTGAGAGCACAGGGTGGATTGCCTTAGGTGGATTCTCTGCACAGCTCACAGCTTTGACAGCAAAGAGGATGTGGCTCTGCCATACTGAGATATTCCTCCTTCACCATTAGTTGCACTTGCCCTGCTTTTTGTAACAAATTCCAGATGGATTCCAAATTCCACATTAAGCAAAGACACAATTTATGCAAATCATTGTTTTTATTCCAGGTGTGTCTCCTCTAGGAAAGGAGATTCCTCGCTTCTGAACAAGGGATCAAGTGAACACTGATAGCGTTAGCATTGTGACAGTGAACAACATGCATCAACATGCAAAAAGTCAGGCAGGTATTGTAGCATCGACTGGCATCAATTATCCATCTGGAATTAACAGTGCACTGCAAGATGAACCAAGGGAACCACGCAGTTTTCATAAATAAGGGAATTTTTTTGGTGGTAGACCAGCAGTTAAATTAAAGGATTAAATTATAGGAGCAGGTTGTTCCTATAACAGCCCAGGTGTGAAATTTCTGCAGACTCCACTTCCAGCCCAGCAGAATACTCATTTAGAAGAGAAAAACACTGCAGAAAGGAATGCAGGCTGAACAGCAGAATCACAGGCACAGCAGAACTCTTTGGGATTGGTTTTTGTCTTAAGTAAAGGTTCTGCTTTTTCAACAATTTTCAGTTCACCACTCTATGCTACATGTCTCAGCAGCAGAAGCCTCAAGATTTTTCCTCTGGAGAAATCTTGCACAGATTGCTCGTACCAGTCCAGCCACAGGCTGAGCAATCTGTTCTGGGTTTTTGTTGTTTTTTTTTTAATTTCTTGGCTTCACTGCAATGAGATCTTTAAAGGTACCACAAGCTGTTCCTTTCTCTACCAGAAAACAAAAAATTAGCTTTTATTTTAATGTTTTCTACCAAGAAGTATATGCTCTAAGTGGATGTTTAGCTGAGCAGAAATGCAATAGCAAACATAAATTGCTACCAGCATTTTGACCATTTATCATTTTTGACACAAGACCTTCCACAGGTTACAGCCATAGAGGAGTTTAATTCTGATAATAAATTGCAAAGTGAATTTCTGTAAACATCTTTTCCTCTCTTATAGACCCCAGACATTTTAGCAGTTTTAGGAACTTGTACCAGGTATCTTCATGCAGTTCAATAACAAATATGCTTAGCTCATGTAATTTCTTAGATTTGCCAGCCAACAGAGTTAGTTTCTTGGTACTTTAAAGAGGTCAACAAAGAGGTTTGTGCTCCTGTAGCACTCAAATTCACCAAACCATTGTATTACATGGGATGCAGAGAACCTTCCATTCATTTACATAAGAGAGACATAAAAGACAAAAACAGCCTCAGAGACTTCTAGAAGAGAAGACCTGAATGCATCCCGGCTTGTTAATGGATGTGTGACTCAATACTGTTGAAAAAGGATTTTGACACCTTTGGTTTGACCAAGTCTAAATTATTTTCCCATTTTAAAGACAAGCATTATTATCTCGATTAGAAAACCCCCAAAAATTTGAGAGTCAGAAAGGACCTGAACCTGCTGGTGTCATTGTCCCTCATATTGATCAGGAACCTTTTCTTGTCACCATCTGCACTTCTCAGGACTAAGCACCTAACACAATCACAGAATCTTGTTTCATGCCACTAAAAAGTATATGCTTGTTTTCAGGGGCTAATTTTTCTTATAAGAATTAAGGATGAAATATCAGGTAGCAAGATAAAAAAACCACATTTATTAAGTATAGATGGCTTATTCCTAATCCCAAGTAGGATAATCTAACATTTATCTGTTGTTTTCCAGAGAATCATAGAATGAAGTGACCTTAGAGATCATCTTCCAACAGACCTGGTTACTTAAAGCCCTGGCCTACAGCTTTTAATGTAGAATCACAGAGAAAAAAGATCTGTCTTGACTAAATTACATTAATTTCAGATAACAATGTGCCACAAGAAACAGTCTTTTAAAATTCCTGGTATGTTTATTGAAATGTGATTCCCATGCTGTATGTTGAAAATGGGACATTACTCTTCACAAGACAAAATTTCTTTCCCTTCTCTAAGAGGGAAGGGCCAGTGATTGACCATCACTCCAGATCAGAAGGATAAATCAGAAAGCTTGCTTGTACAAAAGGGTTTTCTTGGTGAGATTTTTTTTTTTTGTGGCCTATATTTTTCTGTGGGCCTTTTTTCAGTTGTGGGGTATTTGGGGGGTTTTTTGGTGTGCTTTTTGCTTGTTTGTGTTTGGTTGGTTGGTTGGTTGGTTTGGGGGTTTTTGTATGTGTGTGTGTTGGGGTTTTTGTTTGTTTGTTTTCTCCTTGAGGCAGAAAAAGGATATGCTCTTAATGGAAATGAAATGAAAGTGAACATGAATTTAACAATGAGAAAGAGCAGAGGGAGAAACTCACATAATTCAAAACTCATTTTGTGGTATCTGAAACGTTTGGAAAATGTTTTATCTACATTATTGAACTTCAAGTTGTACTAATTTCCCTTAACCCTAACTTCAATTGTTAGCTCACTAAACATTTTCCCAGAAAGAATATGAATTAAACGTTATAGGAAAAATTCCACTAAATACAGCCTAGAGAAAGCAGGTGCAACTCTTAGTGAAGTGCCTGGCTCTAGTTCAACTCAATGGTGTAAATTACATCCCCAACATTCACATTGTTAGCATTAGAGTAAATTATGAGCGGATTCTATGAAATGCAAAATGTTATGCTGATGTAAAAACATGATAAGAGAAGGGAGAGCTGGGAGTGGAGAAAGAATGATGAGAAAATCTGAGTAAGCGTGGCAGAGTAACGTGATGTATATGAACAAACAACACCCGTGTGAGTTATAGGCTCCATTAATTCTTTTCCTCCCTATATTTACTTTTTTGCCTAGAGGGAATAAATGAGAATTCCTTGTTTCAGATTATGCTTCTACTATCCAAAAAAAAAAATTTCCAGAACCAACATGAGTGTGGAGACTTCAGTAATTGGATCCATACATCACAACAGGTTGTCACAACAAACTTTTATTCTGCTTTGCAGAGCTGGTTGTTTCAGAAGTGAAGACCTAGGAAGACACTGATGCTAAACAGTGCTGAATGCCCCCTGCAAGGTGCTAAGTGCCTCGAATGTCCATTTAATAAGTGCGAATTGAGAGCAGCCAGCAATTCACAAGAGATGCTAAAATGCTCTGCAACACAGAGCTACAGATATGTCAGATCCTTTTTCCTGATGGCTTCTTTTTTTTTTCTCTCTCTTTTTAACAAGGTCTGCGTGATGCCACTTTCATCCGTGTTTTTTAGAGGTGAAGACAGCAATGGAAAAGTGCTTGTGTGCAGCACTTTCCCATCTTGCAGGCCCTCCTGCTTTTGTTCTCACTGGCACATGCTGGTGTGCAGGAGCAGGGCTGCCCTGTCTTCACCACAGATTCACTCCAAGGCAAGTGCCAAGCTGCAGTGGCAGCCAGAGCAGGGCTGGGAACCTCTGTCCTCCCCAGAACAGGATTTGGTCTTTAGAGGAGCGGGGGCAGAAGTCGAGGGCACCCTCTGCACTGCAGATGGCACCTGTGACAAACACCCTGCTCCTCCCTGCACAAGCAGAGAGTGGTGATGACCTGCTGCATGCACCCATCAGTGCCAGGCTGAGAGACACTTCTTTTGAACACATCTGGGACACATCCATCCTGTTTCCACCATGGCAAACAGCATGGGAAGGATGATCTGCATAAAAATCCAGATATCCAGGCACATCCTATGAGGGAGTAAGTTCCTGTTGTGACATAGGACAATTTAAATTGCTGGGTAGTGGTTCCTTACCTGTCCAAGCATTCAAATCAGCAAACAAATAAATTTACTATAATCTGACAGAATTGCCAGGCTATGATGGAGTGGGGGATTTTTCCAAGGAAATGCAGAAACAGACATTGGCTGTGGTAGATGGCATAACAACACAAGTAACTTTCATCTTGTATTATCACATGTTGTCACATTAACAGAAGTACTTCTTTCAATTCCCAAGGTTTGGAGCAGCTAAAGAGGAACTTGCAGCTGATCTAAAACCCTGAGTAGCTTTAGAGCAGGCACAGTATTTTCACAAAGCAAGTACAAGTGCTTGCTGTGAAAAGAAAAAATACTGTCATGACTGATCAGATGTTTAATTGCTCTGTTCAGTACAAGAGCATTTGTCTGACATACCAAACATCAGGAATAAAGCAAAGAGGAGATTTTGTGAAACGAGGGATAGGCACAAACACTACTTCAACATTTATAAATGGACTTTGAACAATTTCTTGCACACTGCTATTATAACAATCAATTAGACATTTCCTGTAGGATTCTACAATACACAAAACAAACATAACAGCAGTCAGGTTCACTAAAAGAAACAGACCTTTAAAAAAACAGAAGTCACACAATCTGTTCCCTGAAAACACAGGAGGAGGAGGGAGAAGGAATAGAAAGGAAGGAGAGAGAAGAGAATGATCTCCCTTTAATATGACAGATTTTATTTACATAAAGTTAAATCTAAGGAAAATGTAGGATGGTGTGACTTCAGCCTGTGATTCCAAATCATAGGCTTCCTGATGCAAAGTGATGGGACATTGAAAACATCCCTTTCTAAAGTATTGATTCTAATTAATTTAGTGCTTGCTGATACGAAGATTTCTTAAATCTCTTCCCCCTTCAAACATCTGTCAAGGAACAAAAATCTGCTCTTAGGCTTTTGTTCCTCTAGAAACATCTGACTTAGAGTAGAAAATTGGTTAGACAGGTGCAAAAATAATTGGGACCTGCATGATCTCTGTTGGCATGAACAGCCCAAACCACAACCCAGCCATTAATAATGTAAACTGCAAGGCTCTGGGAGGCCAAGAGCAGCTCCTAGGAAATGTCTGGGTGTACCATCATGACCATTTTGGAGACAAGTACCATCAGGAACATCTGCATTCAGGAGGGGTACAAGCAGCAAGGCTGCCTGAGTCTGCTTGAGTTTGCAAGTGACATTAGGCAAGTGCAAACTTGCAAAGGGGAAAGATGGTGCAGAGAGAAGCTGAACAGAATCTGATGGGAATGGGTTCAGAAAAAGGATTTGTTAAAACAAAGACTTTGAACATTCATTGGGGGGACTGAAACGAGATGATTTTTAATAGCAGAATCAGATTCTGTGATAACCAGATTTTAAATAGCCAGAATGTAATTGCCTACAACACATCAACCCTAACAGTTTACCTACCATAATAATGCTAAAATTGAAAGTCCTAAGGTGCTTCTAAGAAAATTTACCTATTAAAATCTGATCCTCTTTAAGTCAGAATTCTGTACCTGACATCACACCTGTAAAGGTGATTACACCTGTAACAAATACACCTTGGACCCTTGGGAATGGTCCATGAACCTTGGAAAGGTGCAAGCAGCTCTGCAGCACCAGAGCACGACTTGGCTGTGTTCCTCTTTTCTCCCACACAGCTGAGAGAGGAGAGGACAGGTCTCTAAACCTACACTATCAAAATAAATTAAAGCTCTAGAGGGCAATTCAACAGCCAGATTCTGGCCAAACAGTTGGAGACAGATAATGGAAAAAAAAGACCCTGAGCTTATTGCCTGATTTTCTCCACTAACCCAAAGCATTATGGGGAAAGTTCTGATAAATAAAAAGGAGAGAGAAACAATCTAGCTGCATGGGCTTAAAAACTGTATTTTGCAAAGTCCTCAATCTGCTTTTCACTGGCCTTCAGCCCTAGGAGCTGAAGAAACAGGTAGGAATTTAGGAGTAAACACAGTGCAGTGTTGTGGAAGATGAGGAGGTGTTCTGCAAACCTGATGGCATTACCTATGCTTTTAAGGAAAATTATTAACAGTGGATTATATTCTGTCTCAATCACAATGCAGCACAAGAAAGAAAATCTCTCTCAGGGTCCAGGGATGAGCTAATAAAAATGAAAGCACAAGTCCCGTTTTTTTTCTTCTGTGATTTACTTTTAATTACCATGAAGGCAGGCTATCTCCAGATTTGTGAAATGAAAATCCAGGTATAAGATACACTGAATGCAGGATGAATGTCAGGAACCCGCCACATTCTGTTTATGATAAGCACTGTAAGAAAAAAGCTTTTTAAGCAATTTCTCCCATACCCAAATCAATCAGAGACTGCATTTACTATTATGGGGCAGGTGTCCTCATATCAGTGTGGCAGATGTGACTATACATGTACACCAGAAATGCAGACAATTCTACATATTGGTACAGTATTATTGAGATCACACTGTTCATCAGTGATTCAAGAGCACAGCAAAGGTTAGGAAGCAAATCCTGACCTACAGAAGCTACTGACACCACTCCCATTGGAGACAAAAGAGCTGGAATCGGCCTACAATCCCTGATGCAAAGAGTTTTTGAATTTAAATTCTAGCAACAGCAGAGATAGAGCAGCAGAACAATGGTTGGATAGGCAGATAAGTTGAATGCAACTGCATAAACCATGGGAATCTGAAGAGACTGAATCAACAATTTTCAGAGTAGTAACTTTGTGTAAATCTTGCAGGTGAGTCAAGCTCAATGGGTGTTTTACCTCCTAAGCAAAGAAAGATAAGCAAAGGATTATGATGATATCAGAGATTTTCAATTCACTTGAGTTCGTTGTTAGACGAGGTTAAAGAAAGAGTTCAATTACGTCGCAACATTCAAGTTAACATGGAGATAACAATGAGCAGGTACTTGGTACCTGATTAGCTGAACAAAAGAAAAATGAATATTTGCAAGGCAAAAAAAAAGATTTGGTAAAAAAATAATTAATCTAGAATACCTATGCAAGTGTAGTGACATTTGATAAGCTCGGTCATTAGAATTGCAGAAGCATTCTTTTAAAAAGAATTTACTCCCCTGGGATTTCTAGACTCACACATTCCTTATTCTCCCTTTCCCTTAAAGGAATATGAGATTTTTCACAAATTTAAATCTCCTCAGTAATGAGAATTTAATTATTTATTATTATTATGCTCTAATAAAACAAAAGATAGCAGCGAATCTAACATAGAAAATAACTGATAAATTCCTTTTCATGTTACCTGTCAGTCTTTTCAATCTGTTTGGCAGGAAGTAAGAAAATATAACTAATTCTCACAATATACATATAATACATGCATATAATATACATATAAATGACATATTGCCTACAGCAGATAAAGAAATAATTTATTGGTGGTCTTCATATTTCTCTGATAATACAAAAGGCAAATGTCTCTCTTCAGAATGGCCATGCAGCAGTGAAACAGTAATCACTATTATTTAGCCCAAAAACCAGAAATACCTCTTACATTGATTTACATTGTCCCCAATGAATAGTAGCTTCACTCCTCAAATAAGTGCAGGAGTGGGTCACATTGTTCTGGGTATTTAAAGAAATGTATGTCATGTGCAAACAAACCCACTGTTGATAAATATAGTTGCACAGGAAAGGGTGTTTCTAGGAAAATGTTTTACTTGAACGACTGTCTCTGCCACTGTAAACCTGAATGAGGGGGATGATACTGATCACTCAGTACAATCTAAGCTTTTTAGCAGAGAGGAATGCTACAAAACCAGCACAGCAGTCTACAGTCTCCCAGTAAAGCTCTATCACTTGGGTTCTTGCAAAGTTCAATATATTTCCACAGCTACAAGGTGCTGGATTCTTAAAATTGGGTGCTCTTATAAGGTGACTTAAAGCTCAGTTGGGTGGAGCTGGAGAGCAGGAAGCTGCGCCAAATATTGGGTAATTATCAAAGAGAAAACCTTGTGTGTTCTGTTTACAGTGACTAATATTCATAATTGCCTGCACAGACTTTTCTTACAAATCTCCAGCAGTCACTTAAAACAGTCCCACCCCTCTTCTTAAAAAGCAGGCAATAAAATTCTACTGTCAGAGTCATCATCCAACACATTTGTTAAAATGGCAATTTCAGGAACTGCTGTCCAAATCATACTTACTGAAACATGTCAGGATTTTCTACATACTTTGGATGTTGGAGTCCTGCCTTGCAAAAACCCACTGTCTCAGGAGCCTCTGACCACGTACCAGCCATTAAAACCTCCACTTCTCTGTGCTTCACCTCTATTTGCTGAATTTCAGAGTAGAGCAGTAAGAATAGAATATCAATCACATTCAGCTTTGCTTCCCTTCATCAGCAATGGAAAACCAGGTAATTAAAAGAAGGTCACTCCTACATGGCTTGACTTTGGAAAATTTTCCTCAAGGGTAGTGGCCCCATACTGATGTGTGAAATATCTTCAATATTAAGGATCGCTCCTGAATAAACACCTGGAAAACTATTCCAGCTCAGGTGATAGCATATGCAGCTGAAATTTATTTGATATTAGCTTCTCAGTTCTTGGTGCTGCTAAGGGTGCCCACGACAGGAGCTGCTGAGCTAACCCTGCACACAAAATTAACTGATAATTCCAAACACTGGGAGGATAGAGAGCTAATTGGAAAGTCCCCTAGCATTAAATAATTCCCATCTGTCTTCAAAAGCATAGTATCAATCATAGCAATTGCTGCACTGGCCTTACTTTTCTGGCATTCTCCAAAGAGGAAATGGGAAAGGTGCAGAACATATAAATCATTTTGATATAAAAAGAAAGTACTTAGGCAGCCATGTAATGAAACTTCAGCACTGTCATTTATGTTAAAGGCCCTGAAAAGTTTTGTAAGGTCCTGAGTGCATAAACAGCATAGAATAACAGAAAAGTGATTTACAGCTTCACAGAGCAGTATGAAAGTCTATCTTAAACAAGCACATAAGCTAAAATCTAAATGAACCCATAAACCGGTTACCAAAGGAAGGTAAGGACTAAGCTGTGTGTCTTATTCTGAAGACAGAATCCTTATTCTTTGGGTCTTACATTTTAGTAGCAAATATTGGATTGCCATTTAGATTAGCCATTTGCAATAATTTCTATATTTTGAAAAATGCCTGGGTCATATTCAAATGATGTTTCTTGCTTTTCCAGTTACTAGAAAGCAGAAAGTCAAGCATTCAGTGGGGCTCAGAATCTGAAGGTGATGCTATCTCACACAGTACAGGACTGCAGGTTAGCATTAGTCATGGAAACCATACAGAACAATTATCAGAAAAAGAACAAGATGGCTTGTGCCTGGTTCAGAACAGAAGCATGCTCTCCCCTCTGCTAATAAAATGAGGTAAAATAAAATAAAAATCAGGTAGGGCTGGTTTTAAAAATCCTTCTCAACATATGCCATCCTGGACAACCTCTGTGTCATTCCAGCAAATGGTTGCTCTGGATTCTGCAATGCACAGTCTGTGCCTACCATTGCATCCTGATTATTTGTGTGTTTGTGGTTTCTATACTTATGTTTTGCCAGAACCAGACACTCTTCGTGTGAACTTAGAGATGACAGATACACTAAAATACACATGCCCTTGAAGAAAAAATAATAGGTTTTGTTTGAGACTTTAAGAACTGATGTCAAATGAGATTCCGAAGAAATCTGCAGATTTGAGATTCTCTTCCACCTGCAGCTCCTGTGCTATGCCTGTCCACAGAAATTGAAGGAATAGGCATCCTCAACTGCCCACCCACACTGGTGCTTTACTCCTGTATGCATCAAGGTGGATATATGGAGGCTGGGTGAAACGAGATGATCTTTAAGGTCCCTTCTAACTAAAACCATTCTGTGATAATGAGATCTATTCAGGTATTGGCAGCTCTGATGCCCTCAGTATAATGGTTTGATATTTGCCAATAGAATTAAAATACAAGTTTACATATTAGTAATAAAGTAATGTAAAACAATATTTGGATGTTTGCTTGTAGAACCCTTGGAAAATTCCTTGGCCAAAATATGATGCAGAACAATAGACAATTTCAATAAGCCTGAGCATATGAAGAAGAACATTTTAAAAGATAAAAGAATTTGACTTCACATAAAATTATCATGATACTAAGCACTGATTAGTTTTTTTAATTTAATTTAATGATCCTGATTTCTAATATACTTTCCATCAACCTGATAAATATTCATGTTACTTTAGTGCTGTCACACAGACAAGCAAACATGAGATACAGCTCACCAAGCTGCAAAGTCTGAGCATTAAATGTATGCAATAAAGAAAGGGCATTCAACCATGACTGTGTAACTCTGAGCTCTGTTTAGTGTGGTTTAAGAAGAGACAGGCAAAGCGATAACGATATTTAATAACAGCATTAACAAGGGCAACAATTTTATCTCTATTTTCTGCAACCAATTCTTAGCCAATTACATATTTTAGGAGTATTAAATATTCCTCTGTTTAAGCTGTGGACATCAGCAAAGTGCTTATAAACATGCAGATTACTCAGATTAGCTTGTAAAACTTAAAATTTCATCAGCCCTTCTGAAATTATAGATATTTTTATGTACCTATTATTCTCTCCTGATTCCCCTGTGCAGGATTTTTAGTGACTGACTTTAGTGTATTCAAGTATACTTTCATAGTATACTAAGTGGATTTCCCTAGCTTTTCAGGGACTGCTTTTCTCCTTTGTCAGACAAATGAAAATAGATTGAAATTTCTGCTACTGACCCAATGTTGGCATTCTACTGAGATAATCTGATGCAGTTGATACAAACCAAAATAATATCAGTAATGAGGGATTAAAAATTAAATTAAATTTGACTAATAGAATATCCTGAGTTGAAAAGGACCCACAAAGATCATTAAACCCAACTCTTAGCCCTGCACAGGAGCATCCCAAAATCACACCATGTGCCTGAGATTGTTGTCCAAATGCTTCTTGAACCCTCTCAGGCTTGGTGCTGTGACCACTGGCCTGGGGAGCCTGTTCCAGTGCCCAATCACCCTCCTGTTCCAGTGCCCAACCACCCTCTGGGTGAAAACCCTTTTCCTGATATGCAACCTAAACCTCCTCTGACTCACCTTCATGTTGTTCCCTAGCCCCATGTCACTTGTGACCAGAGAGAAGAGAACGGTGCTGGCCCTTCTGCTTCCCCTTCTGTGGAAGCTGTAGACCAAGACAAGCAACCCTGTAACAGGGCCCACGTGACAGTAAGTTTGGGTAGAGAGATCCCAAAGACCTGTGGGATAAATAATACAGGAAGTCCCACTTTTGAATATCCAGCATTAGGTTAAGAAAGTCTCCAAATCCATGACACAAAGACTGACTGAAATAAATTTAATCTACGAAATCACACTAGTCAAAAAATGCTTTGGTAGATTAACAGTGCCATAAAGGGATGAAACACGTATTAGGAATTATCTGTGTCTTTTCACCTTCATTCCTAATAACTGAAGCTATCATAAGCTCCACATCACACGCTTTAGGTAATTTGATCATATATCTACGCCAGATCAGATAAAATCTGTATTTCTATTTGATATAGTAATACACAGATCTAATATTTACAAGCATAAAATTGTTTGCATAAATTTAGTTGCAATTGCTGTTCACTGTTTAAGTCTACTTACAGTTGTTATTTATCCAGACAGCAATTTCTCTTGCTTTTCCTTATTTCTTTAAAATCTCACAGATAATTCCCATCCACTTGACCAGCAATGACCCTGAGCTCCATCAAATACTCATGTAATTGGGGTGGACGTGGTCAGTCTCGGGAAGGTTTCGTGTCAGGTGGTCCTTCAGTATGAGCCATCAGGATGCTCAGAGGGCTGGAGCACCCCTCCTATGAAGACAGGCTGAGAGAGCAGGGGATGAGCCTGGAGAAGAGAAACCTCCAAGAAGATCTCATTAACAGCCTTCCAGTACTAAAGGGGCTTATAAAAAGGAGGGAGAGTGACCTTTTACAGGAGCAGATGGCAATAGGACAAAGGGGAACAGTTTTAACCTAAAAGAGGAGAGATTTAGATTAGATGTTAGCAAAAAATACTGTGAGGATGATGAGGCACTGGAGCAGTTGCCCAGAGAAGCTGTGGATGAGCCATCCCTGAAAGTGTTCAAGGCCATGTTGGGTGGCCAGCACCCTCGTCTAAGGTCCCTGCCCATGGCAGGGGATTATGGTCCCTTCCAATCCAAACCATTCTACAATCCCATGATTCTGTGAATATGGAGAGACAGATTTGAATAGAATTCATGTTCTAAATACTCAGGCTGAGGGTGACTGAACTAAATGCACAAAAGTACACAGGGGAAATAGGCATTTATGGCAATTTTTAGTGGAGTGACTCACAGCACATCTTTCAAAGGCATAGAATAAAAATAGCTCACTTGAGGGAGACTTCCTAAAGAATCAGGAAAAACTTTTGTTATTAAATAAAACTCTAGTCAACATAGCTTTTGTTATACCTTTCAAAATGTAATTTTTTTGTGAGTGTACTGCATCAGCAGTTATTGTTGTGGTTCCTTTTGTTTAGCTGAAAATGGTACTGGCCTTCTCTGCCAGTGTTAAAGGCACCACACAGTAATTGCTGTATGTATCTAAGATAAATGTAAGAATGGTCCTCAATTTTCATTGCCTCTCACTCACACTCACTTTTAAATCTGGCTTGTGATCACAGCATTGCTATCTACCCTTTCCACTATTGCTGGAATCTTTTACCATGTTTTCTTTTCTTTTCATTCTTATTTCCCTTATGAAATTTAAATTTTGAGACTTATTAGTCTTAAAAAGAAGCAGTCCTGATCCTGGAATTGCCAGATTGAGATGAACAGAAGTGTTAATACACTTGCAGTCACATTTCAGTGTGTACATGGCTATGGGCTGTGACGATTTCACCAGCATTTGACTGGTGAGGAAGGAAACACACAGCCAGACAGCCAGGAGTCAAACATCAGAGGTGAAAGAGAGCAGCAGTAGCTGTCTAACTTCCCTTAAGAAAAGTACCAGAGCACTGAGTTTTTCTGGAGTTCTGGAGTACATACTGAGCCCTTCCCAGCCCTGCAATGCAGAAAGCTTGTGCCAAGTTATGGACATGTAATATACAATCTAGCTTGACATTTAATCCCATATAAGAGACTTGTGTAAGCCTTCACCCGAGCAGCCAAACCAGTGGTCTCAGAACAGCTGGCTGCAGCCTGGCTCCTGTTACCACAACCCACAGAAAGAAGAGCAAAGCTCATTTCATTTTTACTGTGGGGTCAATGGCATTTGGCAGATGTTAGACTAAGCATTATTGATCAAACACAAGGAAAGTGGTAGAACACAAGGATGATGAAACACTCATTGGCAATTTGACAAATGCACTGCTTCTTTGAGTTGGGTTGTTCATCCATACAAGATATCTCCACACACCAATACCTGAAGACAGGATAGCAATGTAAGGAATAATACCAAAATGTTTTGCCTGATCTTTCTTTTTCAAAAATCATATCAAACATACTAGATAGCCTGACTGCATCAGAAGTCTTCAACTTCCTAGCATATAGAGCCTTTTGCACAATTTCTCATCTTCTATCTATTACTTTAGCTCATTTAAAACCCATATTTAAAATACTCTGAAAGAGGCAAT